CCTTCTCCTTACCTCTCCTCTTCCTTCCTTCTCCTTACCTCTCCTCTTCCTTCCTTCTCCTTACCTCTCCTCTTCCTTCCTTCTCCTTACCTCTCCTCTTCCTTCCTTCTCCTTACCTCTCCTCTTCCTTCCTTCTCCTTACCTCTCCTCTTCCTTCCTTCTCCTTACCTCTCCTCTTCCTTCCTTCTCCTTACCTCTCCTCTTCCTTCCTTCTCCTTACCTCTCCTCTTCCTTCCTTCTCCTTACCTCTCCTCTTCCTTCCTTCTCCTTACCTCTCCTCTTCCTTCCTTCTCCTTACCTCTCCTCTTCCTTCCTTCTCCTTACCTCTCCTCTTCCTTCCTTCTCCTTACCTCTCCTCTTCCTTCCTTCTCCTTACCTCTCCTCTTCCTTCCTTCTCCTTACCTCTCCTCTTCCTTCCTTCTCCTTACCTCTCCTCTTCCTTCCTTCTCCTTACCTCTCCTCTTCCTTCCTTCTCCTTACCTCTCCTCTTCCTTCCTTCTCCTTACCTCTCCTCTTCCTTCCTTCTCCTTACCTCTCCTCTTCCTTCCTTCTCCTTACCTCTCCTCTTCCTTCCTTCTCCTTACCTCTCCTCTTCCTTCCTTCTCCTTACCTCTCCTCTTCCTTCCTTCTCCTTACCTCTCCTCTTCCTTCCTTCTCCTTACCTCTCCTCTTCCTTCCTTCTCCTTACCTCTCCTCTTCCTTCCTTCTCCTTACCTCTCCTCTTCCTTCCTTCTCTTTACCTCTCCTCTTCCTTCCTTCTCCTCTCCCAATCTCCCCTTCTCTTCTCCTCCTTTTTACTCCCATCCTCCTCTTCCCCTCATTCTTTTCTCCTCCTTCTTCCGCCTCCTCCTTCTCCCCTTTTCCTCCTCTTTCCCCTTCTCCTTTTCCCTTCCATCCTCCTCTTCCTCTTTCCTTCCTCCTCCTTCTTCGTCTCCTCCCTCCTCCTCTCCCCCCTTCCCCTCCTCCTTCCTCCCCCCTCCCCCCCCCCCTCCCGTCATGCACACAAGGCCATCTATTGTTCATTCGCGTAAACCGACCGGATGCTCATGAGAGTAAAAACAACACACAGATCAGGACAAAGAAACACAAAAAAACAATCAACAAATACAAATAACAAAAACAAACAAACAACAGAAACAGATCAAGACAAAGACACACAAAAAAACTATCAACAAACACAAATAACAAACAAACAAAACAACAGAAACAGATCAAAACAAAGAAACACAAACAAACAAATAAGCAAGCACAGATAACAAACAAACAAAATTGAAACAACAGAAACTGATCAAACAAACAAAAAAACAAACCCAACAAACAAACAAAACACAAAAAAACAAAAGAAACAAATCAAAACAAATAAACGGACAAGAAAAAGAAAGAAAGAAAAAGAAAGACAAAATAAAAACAAACAAAAAAACAAACAAACAAACAAGCAAACAAACAGACAGATAAATAGATCAACAGGTAATCAAAACATGAGTCGCGTTGCCTCCTAACGAGTCCTTTTCTCCCCGAGGCGAACGAGCGCGACCCACATTCCGTGAGGGGGTGGGGGTGAGTGAGTGGGGGGAGGGGGAAGGGGGAAGGGGGAAGGGGGTGAGTGAGGTGGGAGGGGGAAGGGGGAAGGGAAGTACATACACACACACAAGCACATACACACACACACACACACACACACACACAAGCACATACACACACACACGCATACACACAAATAGACAAATAAACACACATAAACACACACACACACATACTCGCAAACACACACACACACAGAGCCATAAGTATACACTCGCCTCCCCCCCCCCCCTCCCCACCTTAATGATAATGATAATAACAAAACCAATCACTAATCACGGCTTCCTCCCCCTCCCCCCCTGTCACTCTTCGACACTCCCTCGCCCCCCCCCTATACCCCCACTTTCGCCTCCCCCCTAACCCCCCTCAACCCCCCCTCTACCCTCACTTTCGCCCCTCCCTCACCCCCCCTCTACCCCCACCTTCCTCCGCGACGACCTTACCGAAATTTTCCTTCCGGGCAAAAATAGACCTACATTTCGGGTGTTCTTTCCCGGGGGGGGAGGGGTATGGGAGGGAGGGGAGAGTGAAGGATGATGGAAGGGTATGGGAAGTAGGGGAGAGGATGATGGAGGAGGAAGAAAAGGAGGAGGAGGAGGAGGAGGAGGAGGAGAAGGAGGAGGAGGAGGAGGAGGAGGAGGAGTAGGAGGAGGAGGAGGAGGAGGGATATGGGGAATGTGGGGAGGGAGGTAGATAGGGGAGTGAATGGAGGAGGGGAGGGGGAGGAGGGGGAGGAGCAGGGTGGGGCAAGAGGAATGATGAGGGGGGGGGGGTGAGAAAGTAGGAGTAGGAGGGGGATGATTTGTGGGACATAGTTGTTGTGGAAATTAATTCAGGAGTCTTTTTCCCGCCGTCTCTCTCTCTCTCTCTCTCTCTCTCTCCCCCCCCCCCTCTCTCTCTCTCTCTCTCTCTCTCTCTCTCTCTCTCTCTCTCTCTCTCTCTCTCTCTCTCTATATATATATATATATATATATATATATATATATATATATATATATATATATGTATATATATATTATTTTCATTTACATATATATACATATATATATATATATATATATATATATATATATATATATATATATATATACATATATACATATATGCATATATATATATATATATATATATATATATATATATATATATATATATATATATATATGTATATATATATGTATATATATATATATATATATATATATATATATATATATATATATATATATATATATATATATATGTATATATATATATATATATATATATATATATATATATATATATATATATATATATATACATATATATATATATATATATATATATATATATATATATATATATATATATATATATATACATATATATATATATATATATATATATATATATATATATATATATATATATATATATATATTTACACACACACATATTCACATATGTATGCACACACACACACATATATATATAGATAGATATATAAACTTCCCCTTCTCTCTTCTCTCTCTTTTTATCCCTCCTTTCTCTGTCTCTGTCTGTCTGTCTGTCTCTTCCTTACTCTCTCTCTCTCTCTCTCTGTCTATCTATTTATCTATTTATCTCTTTCTATCTCCCCTACCCTCCCTCCCTCTCTCTGTCTGCCTCTCTCTCTCTCTCTCTCTCTCTCTCTCTCTCTCTCTCCGTCTCTCTCTCTCTCTTTCTCTATCTCTCTCTCTCTCTCTCCCTTCATCTCTCTGTGAGTTAAATATCAAAGCAGACAGACACATATATAGTCAAGTAGACAAATGGATAAGCAGACAGACAGATAGATAAACGGAATAGACAGACAAACAGACATAAATAGATCATAAATAGAGCGAAGGAAACATAGATAATCAGATCATACAACAGAAGGACAGAGATAATAAGAGATAGAACACACACACACACACACACACACACACACACACACACACACACACACACACACACACACACACAAGCACACACACCACACCACACAGGTATAACTGCCTTACTCTATCTCTCTCTCTCTCTCTCTATCTATCTGTCTATCTATTTATCTATTCATCTATTTATTTATTTTTACCCCCCCTCTCTGTGTCTCTATCTGTATATATCTCTATCTATCTTTACCTTACTCTCTTTCTCTCTTTCTTCCCCCCCCCCCTCTATTTCTCTTTCCCTTTCTCTCTCTCTCTCTCTCTCTCTCTTCCTCTCTTTCTCTCTTTCTCTCAGACACTCCCAGCTAAGTCCTAGGTGTTGACGAGGACCGTGGACAGGGATAGTGGAGACCGGCGACAGGGGGGGGGGGTGGCATCTATATTGCATCTGCGTGGGTTGGTCTTGGCTAACATCTCTTCTCCCTGCCGTGTTCTCGACCGTCACGTTGAATTTTACACGGGAAACCTATTTTTGGTACACGGGTTAATTTTTTTTTTTTTTTGGTGGGGGGGGGGGGAGAAGGAGGGGTCGTTGCGAAAACCCTTGAACGGGTTTGAGAAGACGGTTTGGGTTGTTGTTGATATGTGTTTTTGATTTTCTGGTTTATGTTATTGTTGGTTAGATATGGAAGAATTTCTTTGTTCAATATTTATTTTTTTCTTTTATTTCCTTTCGTACGGCATCTCTGTGATCCGGCAAGTATTGAATGGTCGCATTATCGAGGGATATTTATAATCCGGCAAACTGCATATTGCGCTAATGTCTATTGGTTAGGAATATTTCCTTAGAAATTTACACACAATTACCATTAATTAATTTCTAAAGCCACATCTGGATATAATTTATACGTTCCTGATAAAAAAGAAACAGGATGTGCTGCTATTAGAAACATTTTTTGGTCTTTGATTAGAATTAGAATTAGATATTTTTTACATCCTGCTATACACCTATGGACGTGAAATTAAGACATAAGAAATATAGCCTATATTAGTGCGTGTGTATACTATGACTAGCGCACTTGCTTTAGGGTGCTTTCATTTCTCTTTGTTTAAATGTTACTTTCTTTCTTTCTTGCTTAAGCTGCCGAAATCCTTTGTTAGAAATAGAATAGAAAAAAAAAATCTTGTCTGAAAACAACTACAGCAATAACGACAACAACAACTTCAACAACAACGACGACACCGCCACTTTCCTCATCACCCATCGCCCCCCCCCCCTTCACCACCAGCCACCATTACCACCACCTCCACCGACAACAAAACAACAACAACAATAGCAACATCACCACCACAGCCTTCCTCACCCCCTAACCCCTCTCCTCCACTACCACAACTCCATCACCTCCAGGAACGACTCCTCTCATCCTCACGTCCTCTCCCCCCCTTCCACCCCCTCCCCCTCTCCTCCCCGCACCCCCACTACCCCCCAAGAACGACTCCTCTCACCCTCTCGCCCTCTCCCTCCGCCAG